ATTGTTTCATTAAATTTCTTGTATAAATTACAATTCGATCAGAATTTTGAATATTGTCTTTATTCATTTTTTTATATTTGCTATAAAATATTATTAATATTGATTATATATTTAAAAAGAAAAAAAAATCAAATGTTAATTACCAATTTTATTAATCGTATTACGTGATGACATGATGTTACATAATAATACACGTGGAAAAGTTTAAAATTTAAAATTTAAATAAAAATTCCCTTTAACTTAAAGATAATAAAGTTCATATAAATATATTTGGAATTCTTAGCATGATCGACAATGATAAGGTGCAATACTGATCGGCAAGCCAGTTGAATTACAAATTTTTGTTTCGTTTCACATGTCATCATTTTAATGGTTTGTTTTCTTCAATAGGAGGCATTTTGTGGTTTCAAATTTTGATACTGAAAAAAAAAAGAGGCATCGCAGAACTTTTTATTTAATTGCTTGAAAATGGTATTGAATTATGTTATCTAATCGATAACAGTTGCGAGAAGCGTGCAACATAAAATTATTTCGGTAGATCAATCACATGCTGATTATAAATAATTTTTTTAAATAAATTTTAGTTAAGTTCAACAAGTTCAACTATATTACCTATTCAACAAAGTCTTCTGAAGTCTACCATCTATCCCGATTCACATCAGGCTTTATTACTACACAAGCATCCTCTTCTTCAACTTTTAATTGGCCTTCAACTTCTGTTAGAAATTCACCTACATGAAGCTAATTATTGAAACTATGAATTTTTTTTAATAAATTGAACATTTTTCGATGGCACTGATATATTATAATATACTAATACCACGAGCATACATTTATTTAGTATAGCATGATAGGTGTAGGTTGTGTAGTCCAGTAGCTAGTTTATGTCACAATTTTATATGTTATACAATTAGTATGATATTTCCATCTTATCCAAAAATTTAAATAAATTTCTTTGTCACAATAGATGAATCTTTGTTCGATTATTATGAATGGGATTTTGAAAATTCTGATGGAAGAGATTCGAAAGGTTTTGCATTTATTATGATCATATATTTAATTGTTTAAATAAAATTTTATCGATTAACACTTTATTATTTAGAATAATTCCAACAATTCTAATTCCAATGACAGGGTATTAAAAGAAGAAATTGCATTATTCACGTCAGGGCTAATTAAATGCAAAGACCATAACTTACGTGACAACTCTTAAATAATGCTGTTTTGCAAAATTCCATCTGATATTTAGAACATGGCAGCCCGTGATACCAATCTGCTCATGCGAGAGCAATTCATTATGGAAAAAACCAGTCTTTTTAAATGCTGCCATTTTATAGTAAATTTTACTATTTTTTGGTTTTATATATTTAATAAACAATATTTGATAATATTTTTATATATACAGACAGATCTTGTAAACTGGATGGTGAAATGTTCATGCAATGTTGGTAGTAGCACTACTGGGAGGAATAATGGGCTTGAGGCTTGTACAACAAGATCCATTCGACAAGGTATTTACTTCCATACACCCGAGACAATGATGCAATAAACGTAAATCGAATATTACAAATAACAATAATAATAACAATAATAAGGCAAGAGCTGATAGAATTGATTTTTAAAGAAAAAGAACTTGAAATAAAATGTAAAGAATTAATTAGAGTTGGAACGTTAAAAGACTAGATATGAATTAGAGCTCAAGAAAAAAGAATTTGGACCAAGATTTAAATAATAATAATTTTATTATGACACCATTTATTCCAAAAGATAGTTCCTCTTTAAATAATTAACGTTATCTCTGACCGAAATAAAAATTTTCGCGCAACATGATAAAAAGTTTATTATATCAATTTTTAATTCAGATCATACAAGAAAATTCGTTCTATATAGCCATTGGACTATATGTGAACTTTGCATAAAAAGTGTGTTAATATGCACTTTGATTACTGCCATACACAATTAAACTACCACGATTTCAAATAATTCTTCTTGCACTGGTCAATGTTAAATACTTTTGCAAAGTATTAGTAAATATTTTCTTTGCAAGTGTCCTGGAATTCTAAACACCCGCATTGTTCTCGAGCGAAGAGATAATTTTGAAGAAAAGTTTTATTCAATTACAATAGGGAAAATTCGGAAGAAAAGAATACGGCGCGCAGGACTTTATAACTTTTTGTTATTTTTTAAAAACCCAAAGTCAAAAACTTATGACTTGTAAGATCGGCAATTACGGAGCTTTTCAGCCATAATGTGAAACAAGCATTCCGATTAATGTTACAACTATCACTTGGAATATTTTGGATTGGAGATCATACCTGCTTTGCATAATAAAAGTTTGAGATGTTTATCTCTTTAAAAGTTTCAAAAATCAGATAATGATTCTTTTTCTATTAAAAAGCTTTCCCATATAATTAATAGATGATGGCGGTGTGACTGTTATATATAACAATTATATGATATCATTATATTGTTGTAAAAAAATTTTTTTAATAACAGTCAAACGCCCATCACTACATATGATTTCTTTAGAATAAAACAGAAAGTCTTTGTTCTAGCTTGTTTGGTTATCGAGCCTTGTCATTTTATTTTATTTTTGGTGATTGTATTCATAACTTTAAACTACTATAACTTTTTTTTTTTCATATTAACACGATCTAAAACTTATTGTTAAGTTATGGCTAGAAAACTCTATCTTATTTGGGTTATTGAGACTTGGCATTTTAAAGATTTGGCATCATATTTGAAATTTGGCCGTGCTGCGCAACAAGAGGATGACTCGCGCCATATATGTAATATAAAAAATTATTTATAAACTCCCTTGTTAGATTTTTGTTAAACGATGAAAGTAAAGAACACTCGACAAAAAAAAAATCATCATCGTCCTAATTTGACTTAAACATCATGGAAATTGCAAGATTTCAAAATTTATCCATAAAAATTTTTTTACGGGAAAGATCTACCGAAAGCATGCTAATACTAACACTAATACAGAAATGGTACGAAATCTTTTTTAGTGAAAGAGCGCATTTTCCCGTAGGTTGGTTTTTTTGTACATACTAATAGAACACAAACGGAATTTATATTTCCCGCAAGTCCGTATTAGTATTATAATTAGTATTAGTATTAGTATTAGTATTTGTATTCTGTATAATACATTTTCTGTACGGTAATTACCGGAAAACGTATTAATATTAATATGGAAAAACAGTAATCCTCCGTATGTTTTCCGGAATTATTTGTATTAGTAATAATAATAGTAATAGTAATAATAACAGGGAACTCCATTTGGTGTAGCATCATCAAAGAAAAAATATATTCAAAACAATAACTGATGCCTATAAAAGGCGCACATTTCCGTGTTAAATATGAGAACGGTACCGGCATGGAAACACTAATGAATCCATATTGATACTGAACATTACTAATAATAATTAAACTGTGCGTACTTTATATACGGAAATAGCATGTTACTGACGATCCAATCAGACTGTAACAGTATAGTAAATTGTGAGTGTATCATAGATAGATATTAATTACTTTATTGTTCTATCATACTTTTGGTTATAATAACGTGTTACGGCAAGAATTAGAAAAATTATATGATGATAGATATATTGGCAAATTAGGTGTAAGTGAATTTAATATGAATAGATTGAAGAAACTAATTGATGCTACAAAGGTGAGAAGAATTTTATTTCTATTGCGATATGAATTATACTTTAAAAAATTATTTATATATTTAATAATTTATTTATTTGCAGGTTCAACCAAAGATCGATCAGATTAATATAAAGAACCTTTGTTCTGTATCTCGTGAATTAATTGAATTTGGCAAGAAAAATGATGTAGAATTATTGACTCATAGTGATTCTGATGGTAAATTCATTTAATTATTTTTATGTGAATTTTTTTATAAAACAATTAATTAAAATGATACCTTGCTAATAATAATAATAATATAATATCAATTATCAGTAATTTTACCACAAGAGAATTTTCACAAGATTATAAAGGGATATACTGATTCAATGAAAAAAGCCACCACTGATAAAGTGTTAGATGGTTCTGATGAGAATGAATATGTGCCACAATGGGTAATAAAATATTCTGTGGAGATTAAATGCAGGGGAATAGTTGCCAATAAAGGGTAAGTGATCTATCATGATAATATGTTGCAATTAATGTATTATATTAATATTATTCTTATAATATCATCACAATAATTATTAGATATATTGTTATGGCAAGTAAATCTGAATCTAGTAATCTAGAAAGAAAATATAATTTGGGCGAAAAATTTTTATAATTTAAAATTGAAATTACTGTAATTATTAAAAAATTTGCTGTAATTATAAACTTTCTAATATAATAAATTAATTTTGTGCTGAGTCTTGTTTGTGACAAGTATAACTGATATACAATGACTATCAGCCTTGAACAGAATATCCCTTGTCAGATCAATTTATATGTTAATCAAGAAAAAAATTTTTTTTTCACTTGTTTATTTACATTTTTATTCATTTATGCCTTAAAATAATGCTAATAATAATTTTTTTTTTAATAATAGGCATTCACACAACAATTCTTGGCAAAAATTAAAAATAGATCGAGTTTATTATATTTAAATTGGCTATTAACGAGCAAAGGAAGTAATTATTTATTTTCTGGTGACAATTTGTTGGTGGATCTTTGATAATTACATCAATTAATCTTTTTAAGTCATTTTTTAAGGAATAGCGTCAGCAAAAGCGTAAAAGGACCGCCAAAGAAATAGCCTCAGCTAACACCTGAGTGACAAAGGAATTGGGTGATGAAAAGATTAAAAAATATATAATAAATTTTTTGTCAAATTTGTAAGCGTGACTTAAGTGTCTCTTGGCAACGTGATTGAACCAAATAAAGTGTAGGATCATATTAAACCATCAAGGTAATTCCTTCAAAAGAATTCTGTCTCTTTTATAATCCCTCATTCTAGAGAGTTACCCGACGATTTTATGTTATTATTATTAATAACAGGCATTATGTCTGTTGCAGGTTGGGTATTCGTCATCATTTGATTATTCTCTAGCTTGCGTAGGAGAATTCATCCGTGCTTCTTTGGGGAGTCAGATGAGAACAAAAATTTGTCAAGATTAAAGTTTAATTTGTAAACTTGGATTTTGACAATATTAAATTTAAAGCATATCATTTTTTTTTTTCGGTGATTAGGATGATCCAAATTTAAAAGAAATAAATTGGTCAAGTAAAGTAAAATGACAAAATCCATATTGTATTTAGAGACTTTTAATTTATATTTCAAAATATTGTACAATAATAAATTTTAACAAAGTTATAACAATAATAAAGTTTATAAATAATAATATTGATTTTCTTTAGAGTTACAGATGTACGCGTCACTTATTTCTCCAGTTAACAACAGACAAATCTAACTTTGTTAGACACGCCAAATATCTATTAATCTTTTGCTATTTTTTAATTTAGTTTCTCATTTTTCTCATTTCAGATCTACAAAGAATTGTAGATTATAAATTCATGTGATACCACATCTAATTCGCGGCAAACAAAAAAAATTTATCAGATTATTATTATTCATTCTTTTAGAACAGTACACATAATAATGAATTCATCCAAAATGGGGTTTTCTTTTCATCACTTTCCTATTACAAAGACCTTGGTAATGTATTTACATTTATTTTATATATTGTGTTGAGCATTATTTGATTTGATTAATAGGTTAGTAATTTTTATATTAACAGCAACATCAACAACTGAAAATTAACAACAACAAAATCAAAAACAAAAACAGTAATAATAATTTAAGAATCGAACGTGAAGCTAAAAACAAAGAAAATGCCAAGCCATCCTCTTCTATTAATAATAGTAATAATAATATTATTAGATCAATTGACCTTCCTACTAAAAAAAACGAAGATAATAGAAAAGATTTAATAATTGGAGGCTCATTGTCGTCTTGCTCATCTTTTGAACTATCTTCCGGACCTTCGCATTCCTCTCCTTCCTCTTCTACTTCGAATATTAGGTAATTTTCACTATTTTGGGTAGCAAAGTCAATGAGTGGATCAATGAGCCTATTAATCAATCTGATCACTTGTCCACTCGATCAATAGCCATAATGAACCAAAGATTTGGACATTAAACAATTTTGATATTGGATGTGGACTTGGTAAAGGACAACTTGGACGTGTTTATCTTGCAAGAGAGAAGACTAGTGGATATATTGTCGCATTGAAAGTAATGTCTATATCAGAAATTATTGATGCCAAGGCTGAAAAACAATTAAGAAGAGAGATTGAAATACAAAGTAATATA